AAACCCAGCAATAACAGCATTGCTTGGGAACTTATCAGAAATGCAAATTCTCAAGCTCCAGCCAAGATCTACTGAGTCAGAAACTCTGGAGGCTAAACCTGTGTTTGAACAAGCCCTCCAAGTGATTCTGATACATGCAGAACATTGGAAACTCCTGAATTAGGTGAACTCCAACTGTCCTGTTGGCTGAAAAGCCCTAAGCATTGTCCTCAGTATCGTCGTCCTCAGTAGTGTATATCAAGAGCTTACTCTGTGTCCCCCACCCCTGTTCTAAACACGTTTTGTACAATAATCCATCTAATTATTACAACCCCCTGGGAGGTCAATTCTATTATCATTGCCACTTGGCCAATGAGTTCTGAAAGGGTCAGGTCGCTGTGATGAACCACCAAGACCCTTCTTGTTCCTCCAATTGCAGAGAGCCATCCTGCCCAAGGAGATATCTTTTCCAGCAAAGCCCATACCAAGTAATGAGTCACAAAAAGGTTTAAAGGCCTGACCCCACCATGGGGCCACTGTGACAACAAGCATGTGTGCTCCCTTCAGAGCTCCCGATGGGCTTGGCCGAGCCTTGGTCAAGCCTACATCACAGTCTGATCTCTCCCTCTGCCAATCCTGCCTGCTTCCCCTTCCTTTCACATGTGTTGATCCCTAAATGCTCTGAACACCAAACTTCTCAGCGTCTGCTTCTGGAAAACCCATATTACAACAGTAGCTGACTAAATGTTAGAAGCCATGGTTGGTGGAGCCAGGATTCCAATCCAGGCAGAGGGACTCTAAGCCTTGGGCTCTTAACTACTTATTATGCTGCTCTGTAATGTGTCACCCAACTGGCTTGTAAATTAGTGGCTCAAGCATTTGAGTATGAGACGTCAGAAATAATTTAATTTTAAGGCTGCATGGGATTGCCCTAGGTGGTCCCAGGTGGCCACTGGCTTGTAGTGAGCAAGCACTCACTTGATCTGAGAATTTCTGTTGCCCAGTGTTATGCTGGGTGATGTTACCTCCCCGCTTAAGGAAAATAGTCACATATTATAATACCAATGAGATAAGATCTTTAGGTAAATTGTAATTGTATGGGAACATTTGGCACAAAGCCTAGAACATACTACAGTTGATACCACAGAAATACAAAGGACCATAAGAGATGACAATTATATGCCACCAAAGAGTATAATCTAGAAGAAATGCATAAATTATTAGAAACATACAACTTACCAAGACTGAATCATGATGGAACAGAACACCTGATCAGACAAATAATAAGGAACAAGATTGACTCAGTAATCAAAAACCTTCCAACAAAGGAAAGCCAAGGAACAGATGGCTTCACTGGTGAATTCCAACAACAATTTGAAGAATAACTGACTTTAATCCTTCTCAAACTCTGTCAAAACAGAGAAGAGGAGGGAACACTGCCAAACTCATTATATGAGGCCAGTATCTTGATACCAAAGCCAGATAAAGATGCCACAGGAAAAAAAAACTGCAAGCCAATATCCCTGATGAATGTAGATGCAAAAATCCTCAACAAAATACTAGCAAACCAAACCCAGAAACACATTAAAAGGATTATACCACGACCAACTGGGATTCATCTCTGGGATGTAAGGATGGTTCAACATACATAAATCAATTAATGTGATTCACTATATTAATAAAATGAAGGATAAAAATCACATAATCGTCTCAAACAATGCGGGGAAAGCATTTGACAGAATTCAACATCCTTTCATATAAAAATTCTCAAACTAAGTACAGAAGGAATTTATGTCAACATAAAAAGGCCATATACACAGGGGACTCCACTTCGCTATACAGTAGAAATTAACACAACATCGTAAAACAACTATAGCTCAATTTTAAAAAAAAAAGAGAAAAATAAACTTTGGAGGAGAATTCTGGTCTTTTAAAAAAATTGTCTGGATAATTTGAATTTTGAAATATGTAACATATGTATTTTAACAATTCCAATTTATGCTATTCTATAAGTAAATGCAGATTTATTTATATAGTACATTTATATCATCTTGCACTCTAGAGTTTCCCAAATTTCTGGAAGTTTATCAATGATGTCATTCTAGGGGTCTTTCTCTCAATAAATCTTTCAGAGCTAAACAGCTGAAAATAAACAATTTGGTTTCCAAAAAAAATAAAAATAATTAAAAGGCCATATATGTATATGAATGCACACAGCTAACATCACACTTAGTGGTGAAAAACTGAAAGCTTTTTGTCTTAGCAACAAAATGCTATATGCTATACCAAATACCATATTGCCTAAACAACAGAAATTTATTTCTCACACTTTAGAGACTGGGAAGTCTAACATCAAGATGCCAGCTGATTCAGTCCCTGGTAAGAGCCTTCTTCCGGGTTTGCAGGCAGCTCCCTTCATGTATCATCACATGGTGGAGAGAGAGGTTAACTCTTTTATGACTCTTCTTATAAAGACCAAATCCCATACATGAGGATTCCACATTTGGAAATTTCATGACCAAATTTCTCCCGAAGTCCTCACTTCCAAGTAGCATCACACTGGGGATTAGGGCTTCAACATATGAATTTGGGGACACAAACATTCAGTCTATAGTACTTTTCCTCTAATGTCAGAACAAGACAAGAATGCCTATTCTCACCACTTCTATTCAATATAGTACTGGCCAGTGCAATTAAGCAAGAAACGGGAATAAAAGGCATCTAAATAAGAAAGGAAGAAGTAAAATTATCTCTACAGAGGACATGATCTTATATGTAGATAATCTTAAAAATGCCACACACAAAAAAAACCTATTAAAACTAATAAGTGAATTCAGCTAAGTTTTGGGATACAAGATCAACAGAAAAAAATCAGCTGCATTTCTTTCCACTAACAACAAATTATCCAAAAAAGAAATTAAGAAAACAATTCCATTTACAATAACATCAGAAAAGAATAAAATACTTAGGAACAAACTTAACCATGGAGGTGAAAGATTTGTACACTGAAAACTATAAAACATGGATGAAAGAAATTAAAGAAGACATAAATAAATGGAAAGATATCATGTGTTCATGGATTGAAAGACTAGATATTGTTAAAATTTCCATATCATCCAAAGCAATCTACAAATTCAGTGCCATCTGTATTAAAATTCCAATGACATTCTTTACAGAAATAGAAAAAGCAATCCTAAAAATCACACCATGAAAGACTCTGAATAGCCAAAGCAATTTTAAGCAAAAAGGACAAAGCTGGAGGCATCCTTTGTTTCAAAATACTTTACAAAGCTACAATAATCAAAACAGTATGGTATGGCATAAAAACAGACATATAGGCCAATGGAACAAGATAGAGAGCCCAGAAATGAACCCGTACATATATGGTCAATTGATAATTAACAAGGGTGCCAAGGATGCACAATGGAAAAACAATAGTCTCTTCCACAGATGGTGCTTGGAAAGTGGATAGCTACATGCAGAGGAATGAAAGTAGACACTTATCTTACACCAGACACAAATATCAACTCAAAATGAATTAAAGATCCAAATGTAGGACCTGAAAATGTAAAACTACTAGAAAAAAACATAGGGAGAATCTTCTTGACATTGGTCTGGGCAATGATTTCTTGGATATGACACCAAAAGCACAAGCAACAAAAGCAAAAATCAACAAGTAAGATGATGTCAAATGAAAAAGCTTCTGCACAGCAAAAAAAAAAAAATCATCAACAAAATAAAAAGGCAACATACAGAATGAGAGAACATATGTGCAAACCATATATCTGATAAGGAGTTAATCTCCAAAACATGTGAACTCCTACAACTAAAAAGCAAAAAGATAAATATCTTGACTTTAAAAAATGGTAGGATTTGGACATGCAAAGGACACATAAAAGGCTAGAGAGGGTGGGGCTAAGAATTCCTGACATAGTGAATTCATAAGAAAGGGGATCATATTTTAGAATAATCTGTCACAGGATATGCATGACAAACACAGAATCATTTTTGCTTGGCTAGGCTAAGAGCAAAGAGTTTTGGAAAGGGTATACGAGAAAACTAAAAGAGAAAAGTTGTGAGATCAGATCGTGAGGCTAAGGAGTCTGGGCGTTAGGCAATGTCCACATTTTCCAGCAGGGAAGGGACGTGCCAGAGCTCTGCTTCTAGAAAAGTTTATATGGGAACAAGAAAAGACTGGCGAGGGAGCCCAAACAGGAGGTCGCCGCAGAAATAACAAAGACCTAACACGGGCTCAGTCACCTGGGTGAGGAAGTAAATATTTCAGTCAAGGAACCAGACCGCCCAGCGTGCAGGAGGTGTGATGGCAAATAAAATCAGGCAGATGAGAAGCATTGGAATAGGGACAGCCTGAGAAGGTAAACAGATGAGACAGGCTAAGAGCGGCCCCTCCACTATCCAGATGAACCACTGGACCTCCCTGGATCCAGAACCCCTTCACTTATCAAAAGAGAGAAGTGAGGCAGCTGGGACGTTTACCTGGCCTCCCACTTTGCATCTTCTGATTTAATATGATTGCCCAAGGGCAAGCCATTGTATGTTCTTGAGCAGGGAAACAATGAGATGAAAGGGATGGTTTGAAAATATGAGCCTGTCAGCAAATACCTATTGTAGGAATTACTGTGTTGATAACACTCTGAGCACAATGTCTTCCGTGTCATATTTTATATTCCTAGGGAAGCCTTTGATATACACTGACCGTGAAGCATCTACCAGGGCTGAGGATAAGCAGGGTGTTTCTCTTGCAGAAAGGATAATGATGTCATTGCAAAATGGATTCAGATGAGCATTTCAAAAGCGGCACTTAAAGGCATGGAATTGTAACTACACTCGTGAACCATTCAACAATCTCAGAGATACGGCTACTCTTCATTTATTCAACACATTACTGAGCGTGGCTTTGGGACAGACGTAGTGCTGGGTGAGGAATCCGGTGCTAAATCAGACGGATAGGGGCTTTTCCACTGTGGAGCTTACAATATGGGAGAGACAAATAAACATACCTATTCAAGCTGCCAGCAGCACCATGAAAAAACACCACGATGATGAGCAGTCGGCGGATCTGATGTAGGTTGGGAGGTAGACATTGGCACATCTTCCATGAGAGAGCAAGGTTTAGGCTGAGACCTGAAGGATGAGAAGGAGTCTGCTCGACCAAAGTTAGGGAGAAGAGCTGGGAGAGGAGGGGAGACTGACGGGGAGTGTGTCGTGCAGAAGGTTGCTTCCAACCTCGGCTGCGTGGGGAGGTGCTGCGCAGTTCAGCTGTTCTAAGCCCCTGCAATCACCCGCAACCCCCGCGGGAGGGTCAGTAGAGGGAATGCCATTGCCGACCCACCAACAAGTGGGACTCCACCCCTGACTCCTTCTAGATCTGATGGTCCCCACAAAACTCCTTCCCTCCTCCCCCACAGTGTTAACGTGGAAGTTACTTGAATCTTGGAATATCGTTTTCATTCATTCCTTTTCTTAAACATCATTTGAAAATAATTAAAAAGCAAAAAACACCAAAGTAAAAGAATCCCCAAAAACAAAGAGTAAATATATGTATGTGTATAACGGAATCACTTTGCGGTACACCTGAAACTAACACAACTTTGTAAATCAACTGTATTCCAATTTTTAAAAAGCCAAAAGTAAAAATGAACCAAAGTATTTGTACACTGTTTAAATATTATACAATGTAGGTATCGGAAGTCTTCCTTTTCCATACCCTTTCCCTGACATTCAATCCTATTTCTACAACCCTCTTTCCTGTTGACACATTGTGCATTTCCTTTTCAATTTTTTTACTGTTTACTCAGACCTGATTTTTTTTTTTACAACTGACTTTTCACATCACATTTCAAAAATAAAAGATTGCCTTTGTGCATTGTCCCAAGATGTATATACAATATCACTTATTTTCAGAAAGGGAGACCAGCCACCACAATTCAAGGGAAAAAAGTTCTGTTATCAGCCCAGTGTCTTCCTCACAACAGATTCAGAACCAATGAAAGATCTACTTAGACTGGCAGCAAGAGTATCGGCAAGCAGCAAGGTAGACCAGAAACCAGACATCTGGGACAGATCAGTTTCTTGTGGAATAAACTGGCCTTAAGATACACATATAATATTAACACCCCAAATTGTATTCAGAAAAGTAGAGTTTAAGTTTTAAAATGCGATGAGTATTATATTGTGATGATTTGTTTGGAAAAGAAAGAGAAATTTAAAATATCTTCGTGTAATAAATGGTTGAGTATATAGCCTTTGCTTCATAAAAAATGTTAACATACCTGGAAAAGAGTTACGGCACGTGTGGTGAATGAATGAAATAAAGTCATTGGAAATCGATTCTATGCCCAGTATACCTAGTAAGAGCTGTTTAGTTCAGAGATGTAAGAAACAGGAAAAATTTAATTAGAAATATCAGTATGTGAAAGAACAATGCGCAAATAGTGACGGACATTTGTTGTCTATTATCAGGGAAGAAAAATGAGAGAGACATAGGCCCAAGTATGATTAGAAAAAAGCTAACAAGCAAACTACATGGACTGTCAGGCTAACTTTAATGCAGATAAGCTCACAGGTACACAATGCTTTACATGCCCTTTTACATACTTCTCCAAATCCCTCTCCTCTTAAATTCTCATTGTCCAAAATCAAACTAGACTGTACTGCACCCTCCCCCTCTCCACACCCTCGCTTGTAACCAAGCAAAGCCACTTTAATTGTTCAGTTCCTCAGGAAAGTGCAACTTCTGGTATATTTGAGGGATGTATTTATCATTTTACTTTGAGAACAGCGGGTCTTGGAGTTGACACGGCGAAGTTAATTCAGTACATTAGGGCTTACACTCAGCATTTCCGTGCATCACGAGGAAATAATCTGCGGTTGCAGGAAACTACCACCAGAGGGAGGGCGTGAGCCATTAAAGAGGGGGCTGAGCCCCGAAGAACCCCTTCGTTATTAAAAGAGCACGGGACGGGCTTCCCTGGTGGCGCAGTGGTTGAGAGTCCGCCTGCCGATGCAGGGGACGCGGGTTCGTTCCCCGGTCCGGGAAGATCCCACGTGCCGCGGAGTGGCTGGGCCCGTGAGCCATGGCCGCTGAGCCTGCGCGTCCGCAACGGGAGAGGCCACAGCAGTGAGAGGGCCGCGTACCACAAAAAAATGAATAAATAAATAAAAATAAGATGGCTGAATGAGTGGTGAGGGTTTTGATAGGTGGAAACGAGGATGCCTTAAGTGGGTTCTCCAGAAAGCAGAGCCTGAGGCAGGGAAGGCCTTGGGCACTATTATTCTATTATTGCTGTATCAGGGAGCAGAAGGGAGGGGCAGGAGGAGGAAACAGGGAAGGGAGGGGAGCCAGTGCGACGGTGTCGTTTGAGTTGACCACTGATGTGTGCAGCTCCTTGTTGCATCTTTGGGGCAAAATGCATCTGAGGTCAGTAGCGTTATCTTGCGGAAGTGGAAAGGGGATTCTGATCTCCGCTTGGTCAAAGGTCCACCCCCGGGATGTGAATTCCACCACCATTTTCCCGGTCGCACAGGCATTTCTAGGAGATGGCAGTGACTGACAAGTATTGTTAGAGTTCGGTTTCAACGGGCTCGTGGATTTGTAGCTTGTCGGTAAGCACTGGGGAACTCCAGGGATATTTTGATAAGAAAAGAAGCATAGTCAGAGGGGACCCTTCCCCAGTTGTATGATTTCGCTATAAAATCTCATTGTCTGCCGAAGTGAAATATTTGTGCAGATTCCCAAGCCGGCCCTTGACTGCAGTAGTAGTCGTACAAATCCACATCTCGTGAGCTCCGTGCTTTCTTATCCACGATTTCATCCGCCTCTGTGCAGCCCGTGGGACGCAGGCATTTCCATTTCCAGAACACGCAGCATCAAGCAGGACCCATGAAAGATAGTGAGGTTGGAGTGCCAGAAGCTAAACTTGCGCAACGCATGAGACTGGACTGGGAAGTTTTGCTCCGATTGAGGTCACTCTCATTTCTCTGGGTTGGGGGGGGGAGTTTATTGCTTCTAGGAAAAAAACAGAAGGATAATATTTTGGTCTCCCTTGGGGACTTGGGGGTTCTGTATTTGGAGGTTCTGCTTTCCCTCCCACCCTCTTATCTGCACAGGTTCCTGGGGTAGGTGTTAGCCTGGCATGACCAAGCCAGACGGCTGAGGCATTTGCTGCCAGCATCTCCCAGGGGCATAGGGCAGACTTGTTCCTGCCCGCTGGTCTCTTGACTACCTTCAGTGTGGAACAAAATCAGGGTAAATAATGCATACATTTCATTTGTACAGCAGTTTATAATACAAGCCACTTGCCCAAATATTTCCACATTTAATCTCCACTGCTTTCTAAACCATTCTGATTTCCTAGCCTCATATTTCTCTCTGCTGTCAACTTAAATTACTTACATTTGGCTCCGTGGCGTAAATGAAAAAACTGGAAAAGGCAACAGTCCTGACAAATAATAGTCCTTACCTCAGATTGTTGAGGAGATTTAATGAGATGATATATAAAAACTTTTTATATATCAGGTACTTTTTTATATATCAGGTACTATGTGCCATAGTACCTGGCACATAGAAGGTCCTCAGTAAATATTAGCTACTATTTTTATTATCATCATGGTGTTGCTGTCTTTGGATAGTATCATAATCGTTAGCCATAGTCGTCAGAGTAGTAGCATCGTCAGCATCATCACTGGTCCCGTTGCGAACCTTCTAGAACTAACCCTAAATGTTAGGAACTCATATAAAGTGTCTTTCTCAGTATCTAGTATAGAGCGGCTGTCTTAGTCTGTTTGGGTTGCTGTAACAAATACCATAGAGGGGCTGGCTTATAGGCGACGCGCACCTGTTCCTCGCAGCTCTGGCAGCTGTGCTGTCATGGAAGCTGGTGTCGGAGTGTCAGCACGGTCTGACTCTGGAGAGAGCCCTCTTCCGGGTCACAGGCTTCTGACTTCTCACTGTGTCCTCACACGGCCAAAGGGAACAAGAGGACTCTCAGGTCTCTTTTAATGAGAGCACTAATCCCATTCCCGAGAGCTTCACTCTCATGACCTCATCACCTCCCAAAGGCCCCTCCTCGGAATACCATCCAAGTGGTCATTAAACGCCAACATATGAATTTGGGGGGCGGGGGAGGGGACAAACATTCAGGCCATACCAGTGACAATATATGCTCCAGCCACCTTTCTCCTCAGTAGTTGTGGCACATAGGTTTAGGTGCTCCGCGGCATGTGGGATCTTCCCGGACCAGAGCTCGAACCCGTGTCCCCTGCATTGGCAGGTGGATTCTTAACCACTGTGCCAGCAGGGAAGTCCCTACAAAAGACCTTTAAAAAAGGATAAAAAGGGACTTCCCTGGTGGTGCAGTGGTTAAGAATCCGCGTGCCAATGCAGGGGACACTGGTTCGAGCCCTGGTCTGGGAAGATCCCACATGCCGTGGAGCAACTAAGCCCATAAGTCCAAAAAAGTTAGCCTAGGTACCCGACTAATACAATCAGCTATGTAGTACTGTACTGTATAGGTCTATAATACTTTTCACACAAATAATACATAAAAAACAAACAAAAAATAAAGAAAACACTTTTAATCTTACAGCACAGCACCTTGAAAAGTACAGTAGCACCAGCTGCATCACCACTGCTTGCTTCAAACATCCTGGGCTTGAAATAAAGATACTGAACTACTGCATACAGTCCTGTACAGTAAAGTCACAAAAGCACAACCACTTGTAGAGGATGCACGCACGTGACAATGTACGCCAGACACGTGAACTAACTTACGTGATTGGACATGCGAACACACGTTCTCATCTTTGGAAGTTCACAACTTGAAGGTTCGTATGTAGGGGACTTACTGTACATAAAATATCTGTGGAAGGCTCGCAAGAAACTGATATCATTGGTTGTCTCCAAGGAAGTGGATGGGGAAAGGGTGTCATTGCTGCAGGAGAGGAATGAAGAGCTTTTACTGTAGGCTTTTTTATACACTCTAGATTTTGGAATCATGTGAAGGTATTACCTATGAAAATATTAAAAAACTTGGAAAGCAATATGCTTCTGTTGACTGGTCCCCTGGAGAAGAAAACCACACACCTAGAGAGGCCAGAGCCCCCAGAACAATGCAGTCCATGAG